TCTCTCTCTCTCTCTCTCTCTCTCTCTCTCTCTTGTATTTAATAAAATAATATACTATGAGATACAGTATGTAATCAAATGCTTAATTAGATATATAAAATAATTTTAATCTAATTATGTCATATAATTTATTTAAACAAAATGATCTCAATTAATGTTATAAAGTATTTTAACTTATGATTTTATAATAAAATTTATTTATATTTATTAAACAAATATAATATATTAATAATATCATTATTTAAACATTTAAATATTGTGCGTTTAATATAGTAAAAATTAATTATTTATAAAAATTCCATTATAAACTATTATTTAAATAAAAATTTTTAATAAATCCGTTTTATTTAATTTTATTAAATAACATCTGTTAAAAATGTCTGTTATATACGACTTCACGGGTAAAGTAATGTTGATAACGGGCTCGAGTTCGGGCATCGGTGCGGCCACTGCTGTCCAGTTTAGTAAAGCCGGCGCCCAAGTGGTGGTCACCGGACCTCCTGATCGTCTACCCATAGATACGGCCAAAAAGTGTCTGAAAGTATCGCCGAAAGGGTTGAAAGCACTGGAAGTGACGGCAGATGTGACCAAACGGAAAGCCATGCGACGACTCGTCGACCAGACTATCAAACGTTTCGGTAAACTTGATATTCTGGTCAATAACGCCGGCGCAGGACTTAATGCCAGACCAACTGATGAGAACTTTTACGAGAAATACGAGAAAGTGATGGCAATTAATCTCAATTCTGTCGTATATTTAACACATATTTGTGTCGAGTATTTGGAGAAAACTAAAGGAAATATGATTAATATTTCGAGTAATGGCGGAAAGAGAGTCGTAAGTACTTAAACACAAAACAAATAGTTTGATTAAAGTAAACTAATTATATTAACCTTTTATAAAATAATTTTTTTAACCACAGTATTTAGATTTTGCCCCGTATTGTATGGCAAAGTGTGCGGTGAATATGTTCACTAAATGTATGGCAGCCGAGTTGGGCTTTAAGCGCATCCGGGTTAATGCAATTAGGTAAGTAATCCAAAAACATAATACATATACAACATTATACACAATAATAAATAATCATATGCATATTTTAAGCCCGGGGCCGAACTAGGCTTGCCAGACGTCCAGTTTTGGACTGGATTGTCCAGTTTTGGATGATCTTGTCCAGTTTCCAGTGCAAAGTATAACTGGACATTCATGTGTATAATTTTGAAATATTTTGCAACACAATAAATATTTTGCTGCAATTTACATTATTGCATGTTGTATATAATTACAACAAATTGGGACCACATTATTTGGTAAAATATAAATTTTCTATAAACTAAACCTAAATCTACAATGCTATTATATTTAAGTTAAAATAATGTACCATTTAGTATACAAAAGTTAAACTTAATTAAATTCATGCTTTATATCTCCAGGACTGGGCAATATTGACAACAATACAATTATGCATTTATCATAAAAAGTTACAATAAAAATTGGATTCCAATAGTCATTTCTAAGTTTAACAAGTAAAATATAAATGCTAGTAATAATATAGCCAAATTTAAAAATATTAATAATCTATATTAGCTTTATAAAAATATCAGTTATATTTTACTTCAGAAAAACAAAAATATGATTCAATTGTTACTATTAATAATATTTTAGTTAATAAATTAACGCAAAAAATTCATTATTGTGTGACTTAACAGAATAGAGTTAATTATGCCTTATAAAAATACAACAAAAGGATTATGTCCAGTTTTTGTCCAGTTTTGGGGTTGATTTTCTAACGAGAATCCAGTTATGGTTGAAAATAATCTGGCAACTCTAGGCCGAACACCTGTGTTGTTACAGCAATGGGCGCAACACAGGCCGAGTCCGATAAATTGTTTGAAGCATTCGCTAAAGTAATGCCGGTCGGCCGCTGCGGCTTGCCTGAATATATTGCTTATAGTATACTATACGTGGCCAGTGACCATGCTGCTTTTGTCACAGGCACCAATTTTGTTTGCGATGGCGGGGCCGTTGCCGCCAATGCATTTAATTTCGATATTGTTAAGAAATAAAAAATTTTATTATATAATTAGTATCAATAATATTAGAGCTAAATTATATTTACTAATAAAATTATAACTCTCTCTCTCTTTCTCTCTCTCTCTCTCTCTCTCTCTCTCTCTCTCTCTCTATTAATAAGAGTAACAAGTACGTTTGAACACAACTAAATAAACAAATAAATGCAACAAAAATACAATTACGAAAAATTACACTATAATTAAATAATTTTAAATTACAAATTATTGCATGTTTTAACAGCAATTTGTGTCAAATCTGATTAAAGGGCTGACTCTAAATACTTTTCAAGTAATTTAGCCAATAACACGGTAAACGATTTATATGTAGCAGTCGGGTAGGACTCTTTCATCTCACACTTTGTGTCCACCTTTACTCCCAACACGTGTTCAGTTCGGTTCAAAAGTGACGGATAGAGTTCGATTCGTTTGTGGGAAAACTCCCTGAACCCATCGATGTCGTCGTGCATATCAATCACTTTAGTCCAGTAGTCACGGCCAACGCTGTAATTGTTTTATATGGATAAACATATCAACATAATTAATTTTTAATATCAAATTTAAACATGCACTAGATAATCAACTTGTAAAATTAATAACAAATAAATACCATATTATTTCGCCCATGTTAATTCTCGAATGCTTCGTAGCATCTTCTAAGTATCCAAGGAAACGGTCGCGTAGTTTTTTAGTCTCGACCAGTTTAGCGTTTATAATCGGAGTGTATTTCAGCATTTTGTCCTCGGGCAGTTTGCAGAACAGATTAACTTTGGCATAGAATTGAATATTGGGACTTTCTAGAATCACTTCCCGGATTTTTGGTTTGAGGTACCCTGCCCATTTCAAGCCGGTTACTATATCCCAGAAACTGCAATATAATTAAATAGCAATTTATCATAATGTTATTTATTACAATACTAGTTTAAAGGACCCGCCGACGTCCCCCTAATCATCACTTTATGCATTTAAATATTTTTATTTTAACTAACTAAACATTAAATATCTTATCATTAAACATTTTGGGGGGAACGTTGATAGAATGATATATGGCACAATTATACATGTAAAAATGCTTTACTACAGTACTCACAGTCTTCCCGTGCCATCAGAATTGCCCAATTCATTGCACTTCTCTTTAATGATTTCCAACTTTTCCGGTGCTTCGACTCCATTGCCGTATCGCTCATAACGTGTGACTATAATATCGACGGCCGCCTCTTCCTCTTCCTGTCCACAATATATCACACCTAAGATTCAAATCGGGTTATGACTTGATGTTAACATTAAATATGACATTATTATATCAACCATCTCTCTCTCTCTCTCTCTCTCTCTCTCTAACTTCTGTCGTATACTAACTACTGTTTGTAATAATAATAATTTTAAATAAATATGCTGTTCTCTAATA